CCCAGACTCATTGTTTTATTTATTTTTTATTTTGTTCTTATTTTTAGACACTTTTTAAACATCGAAGATTATTATTTTACAGTAAAGTATATCACTGTACTGTAATAAAGAAGGTAGTATTACCATGGAGCTATAAAATATATAATATATAATTATATATATAATATAAGAAATATATAATTTTATAGCTCCATGGTATTACATAGTCACACCTACCGCACATAAGGTACAGATAAAATTTGTTGGTTTTTCTATTAAAAACAAAAACAAAAAAAACCTTAGTTGACATTTTAACTCAGCCTCGATTTGTTCTTATTTCCTTCTTGTATCTCAGTATTCTTGTGTTCTTATAAAAAAAAAATATAGTGTATGTTTAGTTCGTGTGTCGATTTCAATAACATAACTCACCCGTTCAGAGCAAATACAGTAAAGCACAATAACTGTTATTACTACTGTTTAGGCAATGGTGTATATCAAGCTATAGGCCTATAGATGATCAGCTACTAGAACTGTGCTTTTTTGGCTGTGGACCAATATTGCACATTATTTGAAAGTCAGACTCCGGAGGAAAAAACTTTAAGCCTTGAGAAAACGCTCGTATTGCGTATGAATCATAAATGATGAATAGGCCTACAGTATGCCTTTAGTTGAAATTGACTTAGTAGGTATAAGCCCATCGTGAATTCTGTAATTGTGTCTAACGAATTTTGTAGAATCATGTCATGTTTTAGGCGTTCAACTGGAATTGCATTCATAAAGCACAGTGTCGCCTTTTGTATCAGCAAAATGCTACTTGAGATAGGCTAGGTCTAAATGATTGGAATGAAAAGTGCATCACTTTGTACAGTGTTTATCGGTGAGCGTGTTGTGAGTGATAATACTTTTACCGATCCGTGTTCCACCCATCAATCTTCGTTGGATATAATACGCACTTCGATGGAATTCATTCAGGAATAATTGCGACTATCGCAAGACACACTTTGATGGAACCAAACGATCAGACAACTGTCCTGAACGTTGGTCTATGCACTCAGATACTTAGGCGCCATGCTGATATTGTAGTTCAGTCGATCATCACACATCGTCCTCTCAAGACTGATTCTGTGTAAAATATGTATCTCATGAGAATTAATAGAAAAACACAATATACATTGTTTATAGCATCTCCTACCGATGTTCACATGTAGAATAGTGCGCACAGGTACTAAATATTACATATTATTTTAAAAGTAAAATTCTATTAGTTTGTATTCGTGCATAAGTTCCCAAAGCTATCATTAACATCATTCAACCTTAAGATTAACAAAATATAAGTAAAATAGTATAAATCTCGTTAAAGAAATGCAAATCATGTTAAAAAGTAAAAAATAGTGCTACTTTACTTCTTGTTACATTTAAAGTAACAATCTTAAAAAGAACGATTTTGCTATTTGAGCACACAAGAGGTGCGTTCCAACATGATGTCTTAGAATATATGATGATGATGATGATGATGATGATGATGATGATGATGGTTATGGTGATGAAGATGACGATGACGATGACGATGACTATGATGTTGTTGTTGATGATGATGATGATGATGATGATGATGGTTATGGTGATGATGATGATGATGACGATGACGATGACGATGATGACATTGTTGATGATGATGAGAATGAGGATGATCTGTTTTGAGCGTGTCAGCGCCTTGCGTTGTGAGCGTGCTGGTGCGCGTTTGTCTCTTCTTCGAGCGGCCCTGACATCTGCGGAACGGATCACTCTCTAGACTTGAGTTTATAAGCCTGTAATCAAGAAAATGAACTGATGACAAGACCATTATTGTAATATTGGGTTTATAATAGGAAGTAATAAAAATAACATGATTTAAATTATGTGAGTGCCTCGGAATGTGTATGAGGAAACTGAACACATACTTCATGTCCAGAGGGAGACATTGCTCGATTCCTAAGTAGTAGTAATAGTATCGCAAACTTACAGCTGGGACTATTTGTCACTACCAACAGGATATATTCCGACTTATAGTAGTCATTTTTAATGAAATGAAATGAGTCACATTTTCATATATAGGCCTATATATATATATGACGTCATTAATCTTGACTGACAGTTATACTTACAATTCATTCCCCTTGACGGTCAAGTGTCAAATTAAATATTTATTATTATATGTCAAGTCATTATGATATATCGTATCACCATTATTACATACGGTACATTATTGATGTAATTTATTGAACATTTTATTTACTATTTTTAATATGGTTTTGTGTTAAGGTGTGTTTGCATGTTTCTCATTAAGGGAAAGAAGACTTTTTGATTGTCGCTTTAATGATCAATATGGTTCCCGTAGTGCATTCAGACAATGTGGATGTTCCATAGGCGTAGATCCCGGGGGATGGGGGATATATCCCACCCCCAATATTTGACAAGTGGGGATGGTCCATTGAATCATATCCCCAATATTTTGACTATGTATGGGATAAAATGGAGCGTTACACACTTCAAAAGACTGTTTACAAAGATGAAAATTAGCATAATGTATAAATGTTGATAACAAAATTATTTTATCTGGTACCAATCTAAGCTCTTCTTTCCTTAGATGTTAGATGTGCCTGCAAAGCAAGCCACATTTTCACACTGAAGGGTGTGAACGACATCAGTAATTTTATGTCAATTCCAAGAATTTTCAATCACCCCCCCCCCCATGAAAAATACTTTTCTACGCCACTGAGATGTTCAGATATATATATAAGAGAATGAGATGAGTCGGTAAAAAAGGACAGAAAAACAGATGATGAATATAACAATTACGATATAACGTATTACTTATTTGATTGTCGTAGCCAAATAATATCGTATAGGTCGATGCACAATAGTTAATTGTTGCTAATACCCAACTTCAAGAGAGAGCCGCAAGTTTGTTAAAGTAAAACCGACCTAAAAGGACAACGGCACATATTTTAAACATTAGTTTATAATACACAATTCAAACATACTGATCATCTACATTTTCGAAGAAATTACGTAGCCTAAGCCACCTTTATACAAAATAGGAATTGCTGTTGTTCCATTGAATTATTACAGCGTACTGCCGAGGTTAAGTATAGCCATATTGCTTAAGTGTGACTCTTCTGAAATCAATTTTAATTACTGGTAATTTGCTACGGTATATTTACGGCGTTCCAAATTTAAATTCTAAAATAGGAACACTGGCTTTCAGTACATCTTGTTTTCAATCTTTCTTTAGAAAACCTATACCGGCACCAGTATTTTATCTACGTGTTCATTGTCAAATATTTTTGTGTACATCGCTTCAAATGTCAGTTGTACTGTACTTTATTTAAAGTGGATGTCCCACAATTCATTGCGGTAATAAATAAATTTGACCGCATTCAGCATAAATTTCTTTTTGAATTCGCAGTATTAGGATACGTACCGCATGCATCATAACGCAGCCAGTGAAACTCACCCATTGAGTATAAAATGTGCTGGATCGAGTAAATGATTGCGTGAACACGTAAATCGCCCCTTTAGTATATTTGAAATAGAGCAATGGCTTGGACGACTTCATTTCATATGGATCAACCTAAGCACGAGTAATTTCTCTGAAAATGTTTCATGATGCTATTGACCTGATTACTGGTATACAGTAGTTGGAACAGCAGTCGAATTAAATTCACTGGTCTATATTTAGATCTGTCTCTTATACACATCTAGATGTGTATAAGAGACAGGCACAATAACTGTTATTACTACTGTTTAGGCAATGGTGTATATCAAGCTATAGGCCTATAGATGATCAGCTACTAGAACTGTGCTTTTTTGGCTGTGGACCAATATTGCACATTATTTGAAAGTCAGACTCCGGAGATATATTGGATTTAACATTGATAGGCTTGTTTTATTTCCCCGAATATTTTCAATTTCATCTTAAAGAGTATAGAGAGAAGAACATGTCGGATAAATATAATATTCCTCCTAATGACTTAGGCGTTACCAATATTTATAGTATGATTCATACTTATAATTTTCCAATTGTTGATGCGCGCACACCGAGCGTATCTAATTAACCTAAGCGTGGGGTGACTGTTGGCAATATAATACTAGGGTGCGCTGGCGGTTTAGGTCTATTTCAATTCAACTAAAATTTATTCAGCAATATCATCTTTTTAGCGGTTTCGCTATGAGAGCTGTGGGCAGTACCTGATCCACAAACCTTGTTACTGAATTGTTTAATTCAGGGGCGGATCCAGGGGTGGTTCTCCCTGTTTTGCCACTACAATATTTCAGTACAATGCCTTGTATTGGAAGAAAATATGTTTATTGAATAAAAGTTTTTTTTTGATAATACAAATACAAAACGTTTCAGCAGGGCTTCCGGCTGCCGGTCCCTTCGTTATGCCACACTGCTAGCGTTCTTCGCACCGTCTATTCTGTTCTCCGTTTGAAACATTCCGTCCCTATTTATAAAACCAATTTTTTTATGTTAATTAAAGGATAAATCATGAGTTTGAACGAAGCCATCGAGTAGGGCATAAGGCATTAAGATATAGGTCCACCTTTCTAATTATTTCTCATTCTAATTTTCAATAGAAAACTAATGACTTACTCGTACGAAGCACGGAGGTGTAAGAATCATACATAGGCCTAAGTACATTCAGATATACAGATATACATTGTATTTTTAATTTTTTAGCACATCAAACTTTATATAGCCCTGACTGCATTACAGATTAATAAACAATATGCCGATGTTTGCTGTTGGCTTGGAATTAAATAAAATATTAAATAACAACGTTTAACAATGGAGGAAGAAAATAGAACGCAAGAGCCCTCAGACCAATTCTTATATTTCGTGATGACGTCATTCATTCATTCATTTATTTGAATTCGTCATTATTTAGGCTACACTCTTTAGGATAATTTAATCTACGCATAAGCCTATTTCCAATAAATAAATAAATGATCCCAAAATGTCGATTTGTGTGATTGTAGGCCTACTTAAATATTTTATGAGGTTGCCTGCAATAGTTTGCTTGGAATTCGTCTCGAAAAATGACACGATGCTGAACTTTAGGATGAAGAGACGTGACAGACGAAGGTCGTTGGTGACGTCATTATGATCGCAGATTCACAGTATGCCCAACACCAAACTCACTGGGTCCCCGACAGCTACCGACTGCCGTGTACAGGAGTTACAGTTAAAATTCACTCAACAAATTGTAGGACTACAACAAATCCATTTTTACTTGTTTTTGCTGCTATGTCCCGTAAATTAAAGTTCTTTAACTTCTAAGCACCTATTTTTTAATAGGTGTATTTGAGCGGTCAAATGATGATAATCACACTTTGTATTGCATTCTAATAGGAGTGGTCTAAAAGTAGTCGAACGTTCAAAAGGGGCCAGCTCCAGAGGACATATTATATTGATATTATACATTGAATAAAAAGCCGAAGATGCAATCAGAATCCAACTCGGCCTCAGTAGGTTAATGCAATGCTTGTTTATTATTTTGTCGTATGCATAATACTTGAGAATAAGTGTATCCGGCATTGATGCTGTATAAAAATCAAGCATTTCAAGACCGCAAGCCCACGGACCAGACAAATGCAAAGGTGATTTGAAACGTATTTCATTTGGATGTAACGCGCGCAGGTGCAGTAAATTGCACGCCGGAGCATGAGTAACCGTCATTCGGCTCAATCAGAGTCGATCCATCTGAGGAGTTAAATTGAACTCTCCCGAAAACTCATTGAATTGATTAAAGGCAAAAATAAAGTAAGGTTAATCAGTGGTGGCGCTAGCAGGAGAAGGGGAATTATCTCCCTCCCCCACCCGTCTGACAGATCTGGCCCCCGTCGTCGGACGCCATGACGAAGTCGTCGTCCGACGCCATGTCGAAGTCGTCGGATAAAAATAATAATTTTTCTATTACACCGCTGTGTTTTTTAATATGCTTGATTCGTATCTGTACACTACGCTGGTGATATTATAATCATTGATATAAACGCTTCATGACATCATAGACAGAAACAGAAGGGTCACGCAGTGCTTTACAAAAATACGATTATACTAAAGTTATACAAAATATAGGGACTTAATAAATTTGTGTTTCTAGTATCCATTATCATAAAAAAAACAATGTAATTATAAATCTAGCACTGGTAATGAAATATTATATTCCACTGCAGACAATCAGGGTCGGATCCAGAGATGTTCGAAAAAGGGGGGGGGGAGGAGACGTCTAAAAAAGGGGGGAGCTGGAAGGGGCCGAATGTGGGGCCGATCCAGATAACAATACCCTAGGAGGCATGCCTGAATATCTGTGTTTCTAGTAGACGCCCGGAAATAACCTCAGAGTCCTTTTGGGCGATCAACTTTTTCTTTTCTTTCTTTTTTTGCCAAAAAAGTGGGGGGGGGGCGGGGCGGCACGGAGACGCTATGTAAGTGAAATGAGAATAAAATATAATAAAAATTATTAATAGACATAAACCTCAAAGAGCATCTTATTATCGGTGGGCCTATACTACGGTTGTTATTTATTAAACGAACGAACGTGTTGTACGGTAACTTACACACGCACACATGCACACCCCCCCCCCCTCCACACACACACACATAATATTTATATTTTCAATGGCTATCTGTGTGCTGCGACAACTTTTTATTGCCTTTTCCTTTCTGTATTTGTTTAAGTATTCAAATATTATGTATCTTAATGTATCTTGACATTCTGCTAATAACTCGCTATCAATTGTGATAATAATATAATAAAAGACTGATTGATTTGGTGGGATCAGGTTACGTACGTACACAATATACTAAACAAGATCACACTCACTAATTAATATTTCTTTTATGATTTCAGAAGATTCGTACACGAAGAAAGATTCTGTGGATAACCAGGTTGTTCTTATCACTCTACTCGATACAGTATTCCAGGTGAGCTTCAAAATTACTCATCTTCAATATTGCACGCTTTCAATGTCGCCATATTTGATGCAAGAAACTAGAGCGTGCAACTGATATTGTCAAAAATCTTATTTGTAATAAAGTTCTTCAACTAAACAAGATAATAGCCATGTTGAAAGACATGGCAGATGTGTACGGCGAATTTTATCTGAATGTGTAAATACATATATTTTTTACTCATAGGAGACACGTGACATAGAACGATATCTGGATTGGTCGGATGGTCTTATGGTAGTGTACAGTATTACCAGTAAGCAAAGCTTTGACGAAGCCAAGCAACTTCTTCATGATGTGTCTGAGTTACAGAAAAACAACGGAGAATCGACAGAGATTCCTGTCGCCCTTATCGGTAACAAAAATGAAATGGAGAGATACCGGTAAGTTGGTTTACAGAGTGATATTAATGGAATGAAATAAATAATGTCGATTTTGTTGTGTGTCAGTGATGGTAGCGGCGATGTGCTGTGCCTAAACAAACGGTGATTTCGATAGTAATAATCGTTATAGATGACGGTGGGTTATTTATAGCATAGAGAAAGAATTTTCTGCTGACAAGATTATATGTGATCTTACTGATAAAATCTTAATATCATTTCAGACAAGTCAGCAAAGATGAAGGCACAATCCTTGCTACCCAGTATGCATGCTCATATCATGAAGTTTCAGCAGCTGGTGACTTTGAAGATGTTGAAATAGTATTGCACAAAATGGTTCGGGAAATTAAGAGAGAAACTGAGCGACATATGCCTATCAAACCACTTTTTATATCAGAAGACAAACTGTTACTACCGCCCGCTACGACAAGTGGCAAGGAGAGAGGCGATAGATCCAAATCTCCCACACCAAAGCCACCAAAAGTTGTTCAGAAAAAGACTGTTACAAGCTTTAAGATTTTCAACAAAAAGGGCTTCAAAATTTTCTAAGAAGAGCTTTCATTCTTGTTACGTTTGTGTATAATTTTATTCTGTACCCTAGTTTGCATGTTGTTTCCAAAAGAAGACTGTTGCATTTGTTCGTACCTACCAAATTTAGGGAGTTTGACGCGATTATTAATGATACATAAAAAAAAAGCTGTGTTATTATTTCATTGTTTTTCATATTAGCACAATGTAGCTGGACCAAGATGGAGTTTTGAATTGTATTCATACCTCCAAGAAACACGTGTTATGCAAAGCAATAATAAGAAAAAGATTTTGAAATATTTTTGTTATTGTTTTCTTTTTTTTTTAAATAAAAAAAAAAATATCGAGATAGTTGTAGGTTATTAAAGCAATGTAAAATAATAGATCAATATGATAGTGGCAATCACCACTAAAATAATAATTGACAAAATACATAGGCCTATTATATGCCGTACGTTAATAATACTATAGAAAAATGACTGATGTACTGAATAATATTATTACCTGAGTATATTATTCAATATAGGTAATATAAAGCAATGTACTGTATTGTCGTTGACATATTGAATAACATAGCAATGTAAAATAATAGATCAACATGATAGTGGCAATCACCACTAAATTAATAATTGACAAAAGACAGGCCTATCATATGCCGTACGGTAATAATACTATAGACTAACGACTGATTAATATTATTATAGTATATTATTCAATATAGGTAACAAAAAGCAATGCACTGTATTGTCGTTACCATATTGAATAACGATTAGCCTAATTGTTAAGACCAACAATTTGTAGTAAATAAACATGTAGTAAACCCAAGTTGTCTTATACATTGCTTTCTCGCATAACGCTGCCGAAAATGAAAAAATGAGGAACAATTTACCCCTCATTCTGATGAATTTACCAAAACAGTCTTCCGTCTTTTGCAGTGCGTGAAATTGTAGATTCATTTGGACCGCAGACATGTCTGTGCCACCCGCCACCCAGTTTAAAAATAGAGAGGGAGACCAGGGAGGGAGTTACAGATGGAGGGTTTAGACCACTCAGTCCTGTCATACCATAGTTGGAGCTGGGGTACGAAATTGTATGGCCGGAAATTGCATTAGGAAATTTGAAAAATATTCAATATATAAACCTATATCATCGTGTTTACAGTATATTTGAACAATATATGTAGGCATGTATATTGTATAATATACAGTAACCGTGCTGTGGTATGTATGTGGTAATGACATAATAGGAACAAAAATTGAAAAATCAACCTAAAAGAGAAACACGGATCGTAAACTTCCTTAAAAGAATTCATGTGAGATATACATCTTTTGAGCACCATCCGTCAAGAGTGCTTGTTTATGTTATTTGTAAATTATGAAGCAGTTCTGTCATTGACATTTAAGAATGTACTTTATGATTGGGAAGCATAATACAAGCTATGATTGACACTTGTGTTGTAATTGTGCTCTTAAAATACCAAATAGTATTGCTGTCCTTGGACGATCTTTCTCCATGACAACATTATCGCTTACGAATTCGTTACGTCAATCCATGTTTTGAAAAATAATTAATGCGGTTATTAAAAAAAATGAACATTATATTTTTTGTTATCTGGTTTTTTGTATAGGCCTACCATACGCGAGAGAATATGTGCTCCGTTTGAATAAGCGCCCCTCTTAACGTGAAAATTGTCTTAAGCGCCCCGTTTTGAATAAGCGCCCCTCGATTCCTAAAAAAAATCAATCATGACAGTACAGAACATCACCAATTTAATTGTCTGCATCAACTATTTGCATCTATCTTAGCATTGTCGGTCTGTCAGTCCATCTATCCATCTCTCGGTCTATCAGTCTCCATTAGGTTAAACATGTTTTTCGGTTTTGGTACATCTTTAGAACCCCGTTCTTGTTTTATTGCTACCCTTTTTGAATTTAGAACTACAGTATTTAATATCTAAAAAATATATACTGTATAGCCATTTTTAGTCAACAAAAATAAACTGACCTCATCACTCTCGTATCTAAGCAAGAAACCCTGCAATGATCCTGCTAATCTGAATTGGCGGATGGCCAACACGCTTACCACCACCGCCAACACTACCACCACTAATTTCATCTGCTGTTGTGTAAATACCCCAACATTCTTGCCATGAGCCATATGCTCTCTCGACAATTACATTTTCTTCACTAAAACCATTCGTTTATCTTCAATAAAAAAAGTTCCCCTTGAATTTTCCAATTTCCCATAAGTACCCCTTAAATCTTCATCTATTTTCATAAGCGTCCCGTTTGAATAAGCGCCCCTCAAAAAGAGCCAAAAATATTTTAAGCGCCAGGACGCTTATTCGCGCCAATACGGTGGTAGGAGCCTAAATTACTTTTGAAAAAAAAAATACATTGTTAAGGGCACTATGGCTTGCGTAAAATTCGCGTTTTTGAGTAGGCCTACAGAATACTATTTACATTGGACCAGGCTACACATAATTCAATCCCCTATTGTAACGGTTTGTAATAGCCGGACCGCGAAGCAATTTAATCTGACCCGCGAGAAAAAAAAAACTTTTACTGGAAGAGAGCTCTTGGATAGTTTCAGGTGGGGAGCACGTTATAATGTTCCCCTTAATGGGATTTATGGGGAAAAATGATCGATGGATATTTTCTGTTGTTCTATTCTTACTATGCTTTCTTCAAACAAAACATCGCGTCTCAGAAGTAGCAGGAACGTAGCCATGATTTTCAAGGTGGGCGCGTTGGGCGTGGTATGAGGTACGTAATACCGAGCGGGGATGACTTCTGGCGGGACTGTCCCCTCCCTACGCCAAGGACCCTGGTGGGGTCTAGGGGGTCAGGACCACTGGTGGGGGTCCAGAGGACGAAGACCCATCATGGGAGGATCGCATTCTGGACGTTTTAGGACTGTATTGAGGGTATCAAGTGAAGATAGACACATCATAAAGGCCTAACAATAATTATAACTCAAAAGTGGCGGATCAAGGAATTCGAAAGAGAGGTGGCACAGAGGGACTTTGACAGATATAGGGTCAACCCACCTCAGCCGACAGAAATGACACTTTTATTAGTAAAATTCATCATCATCAAATCACCATTATAATAGTCAAAATGAAGCTTACAAAAAAAACCCCAAAACTATGCTATAGTATATTTTTTAATATGTTCGTGTTATAAGAGGGATAAGTGTATGTATCAAAAGTATTCTAATTTAAGGCAGCCTTGCCTTATTAAATAAACGTAGGTAACTTGGAGAGAGAAAAAAAATATATATTGTCAAATTCCCACGATCCCATCCCACACGCTTCGTGAATTGTTTTCAACTTGACTAAGCAAGTGAGAGATCCCATCGTTGTTATGGCAAATATAATTAGCGAGTGCTTAACCCAACATACCATAAACAGTTCGGTTGAAGTCTTATTAACCTTTAGTGCAAATTGCAAAACATGTTACATCGTCTCAGTGCATCTGACAAGATACTTGTAGAGGACCTACATAAAACACGTTCTCATCACTGATTGGTGCATGTTCCTCTTTCATTATTTCGTGGTGATTTGAACTGGAATATAAGTGTACCACCGACAACATTGAACCTCGACTGCCTATTATACAGCTTCTGCGCTACCTCATTAACATTATAGAGATTAGAAGTGTCGCTTTGACATTATACCATAATAAATAGGAACCTAACTTTTGAATGAAGTAAGGCCTATAAATAATAATAACAACACCAACGTAGGCCTACTTTTAAAAATTATAATGCCATGCGTCCCAGCTCCATGTATTATAACTGAATTCGATATTTTCCGACTTGTGGTGGTGTTCATTAGATTTGGGAATTAGATATTCTGTACAGTAAATTAGCAATATACCTTTTGTTTGAATGCTTTGTATTTTCAAGTTTTTCTTATGGCAAGGTTACTTCGGAGAAAACTCAACCCAACATAACTGGTCAAGTACTTGCTGATTAATTCCGCCTTAAGTTATTAAATTTAATTGAAAAAATGTTATCTTCGTCAATGGACATTTTCGCTAAGCTTGACAGTCTGAAAAGGTCCATTAAACAGACGTGTAAATATTAGTTTCTAAACTCTGAATTCACCTTAAAATGGCTGGTAAATGTTTGTCTCTCGTTTTAAGTTGGTACTTCTGACCAATTTACATCCATTTTTGTCATTTAGACAATGCTGCCAAATTACTTGCTACTTTATAGTCTATTCCTGTTATTTGGCTAATTCATGTAGTTATGTAATTTTTGTTTTCACTTCACGCACTGAAGGGTCGTGCCAAATAACTTCTTAATATTAGTCTAAGAGTGATGCATCTATTACCTGACAATAATGTTTAATTTAGAATGCATCTATACAAGTAGGCCTAAACTTTTACTTTCATGAATTGAATGCTTTAATTGTATTTTAAGCGATTTTCCTGTACTGTGTAACTAAAGAGATAACAAAAGACCTCGTACTAATTTCTGTTGGCTGTTGAAACATTTACCTTCTCTGTGTTCTGCTTGCATTAAAATAAAAACATATTACTTGCTAATGTGGGTAGTTAAGATGATGATTAAAGACACGACCAGCACTGTTTGCCCAATGACCTATTACTAGGGTATCAATATTCTGACCAGGTACCAACAGCAGGCACATTCAACAATCTAAAAAACCAGCAGGTATCCTAATGTAATGGGGTGTAGAATGTGACCAATGACATCACTGAGGTGCGCATGCCCAGATTCATAAAATTCCACTTTTTGATAACTTCACAGGGTTTAATTAGGTGTAGTTAGAAAGTACTGTAAGCCCCATAAAATACAGGAAAAACTTAAACATTGACACTTATAAACATCACAACATTATTTTATTCGCACCATATGAAAAATACAATCAAGGATACGTTTCAACGTACCAAACTATAAAGTTATCTTTAGCAGAAAAAAAGTATAGCCTTAACTGTAGTCTTAGTTGTAAAGTTAGGATTATGGATAGATAAAAAATATAGCATGTCTTTTCATTCTCTGCCACCTATTTGGAAAAATTCATCTTAACCATATTCCTAATTGAATACGCATATTTTACATGTTTCTTATGGATCTATAATAAACAGATCACCAATTTTCACTATATAGATTATAATGAACTGATTAACCATAGTCGTAACCATTTTCCTTATGGATTACAATATACTGTAACCACCCCCCACCCCACACTCCTGGATGGAAGCCTCAAATATTTCATCTAGTTCACATTGAGATGTAAAAGAAACATTTCAAATACTGTATACTGTATATTAGTGACAAGTCTTAGCAATATATTGTCCTGCAACTAGTGGAATAATTTATTAGCTAGGGTTTGAAGATCTTACTTCCAATAGAGGGTCCTGGGTTTGAAGAAATTTATTATAATTAAACTGGATCCACATAATGGGACTTAGTGTATAAAACATCACAGCATTCCACTCTGTATTTGGTTGTGCTGGCCAACCTGCTGTTGGATGTCTAAGAAATATAAAAATAACAATGGAAAGAAACTAGAGAACAATGCATATCACAATATTAATAATGTACATGCTCTATACAATACTAAAAGGGTAAAGGTTAGCTAATTGAAGTACTTCATGTCATATGTACTTGGTTGCTATCTAAGTAAAAATAAATATATGTTTGCTTATTGCAAAGGATCATGAGGCATTTTTGTAATAATTTGATGATCATTTTACAACTTTTTAAATCATCTGATTGAAATCATCATCCACCTGACTTCTAATATACTTTTTTCAAATATTAAAGTTACTACTCTATCTGGAATCGCCACTAAAAAACAACAGTACTGTATTTGGCTAGTTACCCTGTCCCTCACAATCTCCTGAATACCCACAATCCACTTCCATGTTCTGTGGCACACATTCTTTTGCAGAGCCAACACTACAATGGGTAACTACATTTGACTTGAGGACATTATGTGCTGCTTTTTTAGCCAGTATTTCAATGACAGTTGGTGTCTTCTTATGCTGGTTCATCTGAGGCTTCTTAGTCAGTGTTTCCTCCATGTTTGGTGTTTTCTGAGGCTGATGTGGACAGATTGTTTGTTGATTAACAGCTGGTTGAAAGGTGTTCTTGGGTTGGTTTGGGTTAAACAATGATGGTGTAGCAGGGAAACTTACTTGAGGTAAACGTACCACTGGAATGGATTGTAGGAGTGTTGGTTGGATGAATGGATTCAAGGTAGGAACTCTTTGAATACTGCATGCAGGTGGTACTGTTGCCCTCATCTGTGCACCTTGCTGTAACTTCAATAGAACTGTTTTTTCTTGTTGTAATCTAAGGAGTGCAGCTTTCTCTTCTTGTTCTAGCCTAAACTTTGCAAGCCTTTCTTGCTCCAATTTCAGTTGTAGTGCCCTCGCTTGTTCTTTCTTTATCCTCTCTTGCTCTTGTTTTTTCTTTAAAACTGCTAAGTTTTGTTGAGTTTGCTTTTGGTAAGCTTCTGGTGAGAGTTTCTTAGCAAACTGTGCAATTTGGTTTATTTTTGGAGTTGAAACTGGTGAGCATGTGTCAGCAGTATTTTTCAGTTTCTTTTCTTTGACAGTAGTGTTCGGAACAGGCAAATCCATCAGATTATATTTCTTTAAAATTTCTTCATCAACATACCAGCATTCACGATCATAGCCATTACGTTTCTCGCGGACTGCAATTTTGTTGATTTTTAATTTCATTTGCCGGGCAGATATACTGAAGTCGCATTCGATTGATGGGGTGCTAGGACGGGTTGGGTTGTCAGCAAGGTTATTGACTGGTGATGGTCCTCTCTCATTTGAACTACCAGCCACTACATGGCTTGAATCATCGGTTTCATTTTTAGTAGAGTCATTATTTTTCTGGTCCCAAAATTCCCGGAATGATCGACTAAGAGCCTTGATTCCTGCAGTGTTGCCATGGACTAATCTAATTAAATCGGGCATTGCTGTGGAAAGTAGAAAAACAGACATATTTTCTATGTTATCATATTTATAATCTTTGTATTATGCTTGTGTATAATTTACAGAATCTACAAATACTCTGATATGATTCTTATGTTTTCCTCACCTTCTTTTGGGACACCCTTCCTTTTTAAGGTGTGCTTATTTTCACATTCACCAGTGGCTGAATGCTCGGTAATGTCTGTTGATGACAACTGGCTGTAACTTGTTGGTATTGGTGTATTCACTAACACAATGGCGGCAAATTGTTGTAAAGCTTTCCAGTGTTTTGATTGGGTATCATTTCTTTCACCTTCCCAAACTGGACCAATGAGCACAGGTGTTAGAGTTTCAATCTTTTTCTTGAGACCAGCTTCCCAAGCCTGTGCTTTGGCAGCCTGCTTTTCCTTCAGTTTCTTTATACCATCCTATATATATATATAAAAAAAAAAAATTAACAACAATTTTTATCTTTCATTTTTTAATACATTTGCATAGCAATAAAAAAATAGATAAAAAAAAAAAGGAAAAACAGATATGAACTGGGATGACTACCTCGCAATCGTTTCCACCCTCGTCTTCAGACAAGTACCCATGAGGCACGAAAAATCCATCATCATCCTCATCGTCATCACTCGCTGGATCATCTTCACCCTGGAAATCATAATTGAAAGATTTAAATTTTAAATATATTTAACTCCAGATATAACTTTGGAATATTAATAAGGCCTATGAGTTAAATTGGTTTTTACAAATAAATGTTATAATTTGATTTATGTCATTAAATAATTAATTCTCTTCTATTAGAGATATGTGGCTTCAGGAAAGGACGAGGATGCATGGATCATATATTCACTCTCAGAACCATAATTGAACAGAGCATAGAGTGGAACAGCAGCCTTCACCTGAATTTCATAGATTTTGAAAAAGCCTTTGACAGTGTCTCCTTCAGTTTCTTTATACCATCCTATATATATATATAAAAAAAAAAAATTAACAACAATTTTTATCTTTCATTTTTTAATACATAAGCATAGCAATAAAAAAATAGATAAAAAAAAAAAAGAAGAAAAACAGATATGAACTGGGATGCCTACCTCGCAATCGTTTCCACCCTCGTCTTCAGACAAGTACCCATGAGGCACGAAAAATCCATCATCATCCTCATCGTCATCACTCGCTGGATCATCTTCACCCTGGAAATCATAATTGAAAGATTTAAATTTTAAATATATTTAACTCCAGATATAACTTTGGAATATTATTAATAAGGCCTATGAATTAAATTGGTTTTTACAAATAAATGTTATGATTTGATTTATGTCATTAAATAATTAATTCTCTATTAGAGATATGTGGACTCGCGCTTTCAATTTTAAATGGTTCCTTTCCATTTTGAATACTCAATTTTGTTCTTTGAGTATTGAATCAAATATTAAATTATAGAAAATTTGAATTTGAGGTTTTGACCTTTTTGGTGTGAATTTATATTCTATAAACCTTAAATTTCATAATTCATAATAATTTTATTTCACTCAAAACGTAATGAGTCTGGTAGGCAAAAAAGGGAACATGTCTCTGTACAAGATGCCTACCATAGAAACAATGATAATGGCAAAGACAATAATAAAAATAATAATAATAATAACAACAATAATAACAATAACAATAATAATAATAATAATATAAACATTGATCATCAATATTTACTATTTTCTCTTTTATCCTCTTGAGCAATTTGTTCATTTCAAGATTTTCAGACTCCAAAGTATCTTAATTTTTTGATATTAAACCACAGTTGCTGTTTTTGTGTGTATTTTTCCTTCTTTGTAAATGCATATGGCTCTGGTTAATAGAGAAATTCAATCAATCAATCAATCATTCAGTGATGTGATTATGTACTTTTTTACGGTACATCCTGCAAAGGATCTTAGGATCCACAACTGCAGGGCAACAGGGACTGTATGGATCTGTACACTGAGGTAACACTCTACTCATCTTGAATGATGTACTGGGTTCTTTCAGATGCACATGAGCCATTGTGTACACTGGGCCCACAGTTTATAGTCCTTAACTGAGAAAACTTGTTCTACTAGAACCATAGACGAGCCTGCTGCTCGAACCAGCACCAATAATATGGCTGTAGGTTTTAGTGACCCTGCCTTAAGGGCTTGGCCAACCAACTCGTACTTACCTCTGAGTTAGATAGACTCTCTCCAGGCTCCTCCCATTCTTCATCACTGTCCACCTCATAATCCAAAATCTATACAGTATTAGGAATATATGAACCGTGTTTACTATTCAAACTGTACTATAAAAAATCTCTTATAACAAACAGTTACCGAAGATTACAATATAACTGAAGAATACAAGTATCTTTAAACTGATATCTTTGTTCCATTTAGACCTGATAAATGATTGTTTTATATTTTTATCCATTTAATGGTATTAAACAATAAGGCCTTCTATCTTCCAATGAGTTTTGTCCTTTTCAATACAAGGAACATTAAAATTAGTTGTTCAGCTATGTTTAAATCATAAATTGAATAGATATTTGACAAACCTCATCCATAGCAAATGGGTTGCGAGGATTTATTTTCTTGCTAGTCTTTCGCATTGTGCCGTAAAAAGCAGGGCGATAATTATCATGGAAGTAAAGGAACTTGCATTTAACCAGCTGCTTCCCATCTGGAATGACTTGAGTGTCAGAACTACTTGTGCTGTTTCATGTAAAAAAATAATTATAAGCAAACTCAATGTTACAAACAAGTATACAATACTAAAATTAAAGTAAATGTCTGCAATAATTACAAATTGTATCTCTCCAGGCTAAGTAATTTCTCAAGGCTTACTAAATAATGTTGCACTTTGAAAACAGAATAAATTGTATCATTTGTATAGCACCTGCTAAAAACTGTTTATTTTTTGTTCTTTTTTTACACTGGGCCTTTAGGTATTAAATAAATTTTATTTAGAGAAATAAATGAGTTTTTAGAAGAGTTGTGAATTCTTCAATATGTATTCCTTCAGGTTGAAGGAATAAGCAGATTTAAGTACGTATTACAACTTCATGTTACATTCATTATATTCCAAACAAGCCGATACAAATTGTAGTATCCAATTGATTTATTTAGTGTGAGAGCTGAGAAAGCGCTAAGCAGTGACTAACTGGATGTGCTCTTCCATCACTAATCTCCCAACATCACAGTTTTACAACCAATTTAAATTATTAAACTATACTAAATATTGCAACTGTTGAATATAATTTGTACATTTGGTAGTTATACATGCATGCTATTACATCCATAGAAATATTTAGATATATCATGTTAATTAGATATTGTTGTTAATATGAAGTCGAAACAACTTACACAGCTGTTTTGACATCCTTTCCTGGTTTAAACCCATTACACTTGATGTCATTAAGATATGAGGCTGTTAGAGTCTGAAAATACATACAATTATCACATATTGATATACAAAAAGACAATAATCAGTTTAATATGCTAGCAGGGCTAGAAAAAGATGGAGGCAACATGAATGTCCTGGAGGCTATGTAGTGTACAGACAACATTTGGTGCTGGAGGCATTTTATCAAGACAACTTCCATGGTCAGAGGCACAAACATTTTTTTCCAGACCTGTATGCTACTATAACGATTGACACATAACTGGACGGAATGAGAATTGAACCTTGACCTCAAGAAGTCTGATTCAATACACCTGCAGCAACTGCTCCTACATGCTCAACATACTCATGTAAAATATCACATTAGAAATCAACCAATATCAACGAACAATTCTAATTTTTGTCTGCATAAAAAAGACGAGTGTTTTCTAAATCATGGAGTTTACCTGGTTGTTGATAGCCTCTTTGAGTTCCTTTTTCTTGTCCTCATCAATGACCCTTCGCACTCTTGGTGCCAGCATCATACCTTCTTTCAACTCAAATGCTGCAAATGGCCCGCAGCTCACATTCTCGGACCACTTCTCTTTGATGGTGGAACATTCTGGAGCTTTGGTGAAGAAATTACGAAAAGCCTTTTCTTGTTTTTCTTTCTTCAGTTTCTGCAAAATGAAAAAGATTGATAACATGCACATGAATCTGTTTCAAAATTAGAGAAATAATGACTCATTAATGCAAAGACCACGTAGGAACTTTCCACCTTTCGGCATCATGTAATATCAGATATTTGTATTGCACCTTTTGAAGAATGATAAAAACTGCTAACTGAATAATTAAATAATTAATGTATAGAGTAGTGTCAAAAAGAAAAAAATGCAAATGAAAAATGAATCTATAGTATTCCTATTACACACTTTCATGTGGATGCTGATTACAAAATATTATTTGTTACACTATATGATTATACCAGCATTATTTTTAGAGACACTTAAATATAAATGTAAAAAAAAAAGTAGTTACTCTTAACAAATTACGGGCCCATTATACCTTACAAAGGCTGTTTATGAGGAAATATAATGTTAGTGGCATAATTTACTGGACCTATATTCATTCCCAATGGTGGAGATTTTGTAATAAATTCATACTTTTTCTTCATTAATTCTCTTTTCTTCTTCAATCTGTTTCTGTTTCTCATCTTCTTTTTTCCTTTTTTCTTCCAATTTAGCTCTACAAAACAAGAAATAATCAATGACATTTTGCATATATTTCAGAGTTTTCCTAAGTAACTAGAAGTGTTCCCCCATTATGTGAAAATTGTTATTTTGAAACATTATTTTTTCCATAATAATAAATTGAATATTTATTAAGTGCTCTGACACAGATGGTCTCACAGCGCTAAGATAATTGGAATAGGTAAGTTTTGAGAGCAGTTTTCAACTGTTTCAAAGTTGGGGGATGACAAACATTACTAGGTAGTTCGCTGCATAGGGATGGCGCAGCAGCATATAAAGCATTGTGAGAAGTGGAATTGGTAAGATCATCTTTGGCTGTTCTTAAAATATTATGCGCAAGCCTACATAAATGTTGTAGGCATGTCTCCGTATGTCTAGTCATCCTACCTAGCCAAATAAGAAAAAATAAATCTTTAGTCAAAATAAGCAATATACAGTTATGACGCTGGGTGCTGCAAGGGTTAAGCAAAATGGCCCCTCTAAAATGTATACTTTTCCTTTTAAAAGCTTAGAATTACAAACATTTTCAACAGTTGTATGTTTATAAAGCTTTGACATAAATTATCATGATTGGTTCTAAAATAACTTAATAGATGGACTTGCAGCAGGGTAATTTTCTTTAGCCTTCATCTTGGGGAGGACATTGTATTTTATCAATTTAATATCATGACCATGTTAATGCTTTTTAGACATTTAGAATGTTAATTCCAAAGTACAGTAGCACCAACATAAGCAGGTACCATCAGTGTGAAAAAGTTGAATAAAGATTACTGCTATATACAGTATAACCAGAATTAGATGTAAAATTATGAGGCAATGTGTTGGTAAACACATGAGGAGCCGATGTATGTAAATATTCTGATCTAGGTAGTGCACTTACTCTATTATCGCTTGTTTCTTTTTCTTTTCTTCTTCTTTAACTCTCATTATCTCTTGTTTTTCTTCTTCTTCCTTTTGTTTTTTGGCTTGTTTTTCTTTCTCTTTTCTTTCTTTTTCTAATTCTTTCTGATGCTTGGCTTCTAATCTTTCTTTCTCTTTAGTTGCCTTTGCCTCTTCTCTTAATCTTTGCTTCTCAGCCCTTTCTTCTTCTAATTTCTGCTTTTTCTCCTTCCTGAGTATTTCCTGTTAAAAAAAAGAAAAATTGTAATGGTACCAGTGGCATATGTATGGCCGATGCCGTCAGTGCAAAGCACTAGGGCGCAGGCCGTTCTATAATTAGCCTCTAAGCACTATAATAAAATAACATTTCCATAATTTACGCGCCGTACGCTCATTTCCAGGCCCACAGCACATACTGAAGCTGGAAATTACGTTTCGGTTACATGTTTTGGGTTTGTGGGTCTGTATTAATATCATTACCATGGGCACGGATGTTAAGACGTATGTGTACACATTCGTAAGTCATTAAAATGACATCATCAAAAAAGTCATCAAAATTACTCTTTTTAAAAACTAAATAGAGCATGTTTTAGCATATAATAATTTTCAATTGAGGGTCAAAGTACGGCGGATCACCAAACTCGTCCTCAGTGACGAGTTCAAATCTAGTATTTACATTTTTTATATCTCTTGATAACTTTGGAGTCTGTAGATTGCAGGAGAATGTGTAAATTAATAACTTGCAAAACAGTTCTAACAAAATTATGCATTAAAACAGCAGGGGGCTATGTTGATATTGTGAAACATTATTTTATAGTTGGATGACAATATTTAACTAGTTACAAAATACCTTATTTGGAGTCTTCCCTTTATTAACAGGAGTAGTCTTCTCTTTCACTTCCGGAGTCTTGTCTGTGGTTACAGGTGTTGACAAAACCCTTACTGGTGTGGCTCCAGAGATGACTCGCACAGGAGTGGTATCCAAAGCAAATATTCCTGTTTTTAGACTAGAAGCTTGGCTGTTATTTTTCTCCTCATCTACCTTTGTGGGTGAACAAATGCTTACTTTAGACTTCCTTGGAGTATCTGTAATATTGCTTGAACAACCTTCATCTTGAGGAGTATTTTTCTCTTCACAAATGGGAGATTTCTGCACCGAAGTATCAGGAGATTCTTGAGCAGGACTCTTCACTAGTACGTCCACACACTGGTCTACCATTTCAAGTTGGTTGTTGTCCTGCTTTTCGTCTAATTTACCAGTATCACCATTAATTATAAAACATGAGCGCTCAGTAACATCTTCTCCATCAGAGGTAGAAACTTCAGGTTGTTGTGTTTTGTGAAAGAATTGATCAAGCACAGCACGTTTAGGTGTTTGTGAGCTGCTATCAGCCTCTGATACTAAAACTGGAAGTGAGGGGGAAATGATGCGTGAGGGGTTGGTATCTTCTGAGCTTGAACTTACTTCAGCATCTGAGGTTGATTTATTAATAGCTTTAATCTTTTTCACTGGAGTAATTTTTGATTTATTTTCAGACACCTTTGTTCGGCCTAGAAGTGATGGCTCTGAGTTTTCAGAGACCACATGTTTCCGTTTACTTGCACCTTGATCAATTTGCATTACTGGTTTGTGGTTGACAGGAGATGGCGTCAGGGTTTTAAATGGTAACCGGCCTATGACAAAAAATTAAAAGTTTAAAAAAAGTGTAGATAGTACATTTTTTCATTTAGCAGAGCTATAGTGATATGATTCCAATTTTACCATCCTGGGTTAAAATTATTATCACTAAAAACAATTTCAATTCCGAAAGATCTTAATAAAACTTAGATGTTAAAGCAAGCATCTTGTAAGTGGCAAGTCCTTTGGATAATGAAAATAAATGCATTTCTTCTTCTGCTGATTATATTTGTTTATTTCACAAATATAATCCATGAAAGGTACAATATGGCAAATCTAGCCTATAGGCCTACTTCAGCATCTTCCATTGCAATAATGAATGTTACTTACACTGCTTTAGTTTTTTGAATGGAGGACTTGACATAACAATACTATTGACTGGTGATTTATCAAGACCTACAAAACAAACACATATCGTAAGTCTATAAATTTGAAAATGAATTATGGATTTAGACACTTTTTTTGTCTATTCATGTTTTTTGACATTTTATACATTCTCTCCCTGTCACCTATGCGAACACAGGCAAAAAATTGGTGGGTTTGACTAGTAGAGATTGTTCAGTAAAATGTCAGTGAGAAAGATATACAGTACCGCAAATATATATTTATTCATCTATTACAGAAACACTGAATCTCAATATATGTAAAAATGCAATTTTTTGTATAAAAACATTGCTAAACCCCGCAAACTTCCAAAAAACACAGTCCACACCCATCCAAACCCTGTGATAATGATTGACACATAGTATAGGGCTAAACTTGGTATCTCAATAAAAAAAATCTTAATTTTATGTTCGACACAACTTATTTTTGGGGTAAAAAGGCCATTTTTTGTATAAAAAAATTGCTAATCCCGCAAACCCCACAAAACACAGTGCAAACCCCATCCAAGCCCTGTGATAGTGATTGAATCACATAGTATAGGACTCAACTTGGTATCTCAATAAAAAGAATCATAATTTTTATGTTCGTCACAACCTAATTTTTTGGGGTAAAATGGAAATTTTTTGGTATTAGATTCTCTGTAAAATCTCAGATTAATGTGTATTTTTTATATATGATGGATTGATCCTAGGGAACGACTGTGTATTCAAAGGCTAAGCACATAGTTAGAGAGGGCGCATTGATGACTATTTTAGTCGAGTAATGGCGATTTCATGGGGAGAAGTGCTTGCACAGTGGACTGTATAATCATGGAGGTAGAATGTTATGATGATGGATGTTAGTTAAAATTCATTACAAATTGAAAAATAAACAAAATTTACTCCGGCAGTTTTACGTAGCGGTTCAGGCTTTCAATCGTAAGGTCGGGGTTTCGAGTCTCCGCTGTGCAGATTTGCTTGTGTCCTTGGGCAAGGCACTTTAGCTACATTGCTTCAGTCCACCCAGCTGTATCAATGGGTACCGGCAAACTGCTGGGACTAACCTGCGACGGACTAGTGTCCCGTCCAGGGGGAGTACAACTCTCATCCGCTTCACACTACGAAACTAGAGATAAGCTCCAGCCCTATGAGCCCCAGTGGCTCGGAAAGGATTTAGTTAGTTTAGTTAGTGAAAAAGAAACAAAATTTACTCAAATTTCAGTTTAAGCGTAAGTTTTGCCGGTGTTTGCGTAAGACTGTATGATTTGATTGGAATGCGTAAGACTTACAGCGAATGCGTACGGTTTGACAGGTCTGGGCAATACAACCTTCGGGTCAGTGCATTTGCATATTATTAATCCATGTGCAACGCCCGGCGGACCCGAGGGCCTTGAGCACTTCATTTAGCCAAAAGCTTGTCCAGAACAGTGACATCCCTCCAATTGCAATAGGAAACTATTGCAATTTTTCCTACGCGCAGGCTTCGTAGATACATCGTAGCCTGAAATAAGCAATCTAAAGAAGGCTACGAAGCGAACCTACGAAGCAAAATGTGTTGTTTATTTGTATGTGCAGAAAGACTGCTGTAGCCTACTGGAATAAACAATGTATTGTTTGGTCATTTGTGAATGACAAGCACGAGCTTAGACTGTTAATATTATAAAGTATGGAGCTGTTTTTTTCAATAAGAAAAACATACACTTTTCTTAAGTTATTAGAATGAGCAATGAGTCACAAGATGTTAGGTCACAAGCCAAAAGACAGGGATGTCACCAGCTTTTTGGAGTGCCGGTCGGCGATCATTCCCCATTTTCCCGGGGGAGGGGGGTCGCCGCCGTATTCGTGGAAGCTCTTAAAAACCAAAAGTCAAGCAGGCCTAGGGCCAAGACTAGCTGACGCGATTTTTTTAGGCTAGGCCCAGGTCAGAATTTGAGGAATGCAACAAAACAGATGAAGATGAGACTTACTGTAGGCCTAATTAAATTCAATAGTTGACATGCTTTGTTTTAGATTAAAAAATAATAATGAACAAATCCTGGCGACAAAGCGTCTATCCGACTGTACCCAGCCGCATTGTTTGCCGTAATTTCACATGTTTGACGATTACCACGATGAATGTGTATGTCACTGATTCATGTGCACTCATGTATTTATTTTTTGTCCATTTACACATTATATATTAATTATAACTAAAAGTGAAAATACAAAATGAAAACAAAGTAAAGAAATAAAACATAAATCAGGTTTTGTAAATTTTTAATAATCTTCCTGCCCCGGATCATGCTCTCTTAATAAAATACTTGAATGGTCACGATTTCAACTTTAACCTTTGAATGTGTACAGCAACCGTGTCATGCCGGCCCACAACGTTCGCTATGACTCAACTGGGCTTAGGCTGTTCAGTTAACGATGAATAGCAGGGCAGTACAGTATTTTGTTACAATTAACGTAACCACGGAAACATTTATTGTATTCTTCTTGTCTTTATCTATCAATTTAGCTTGTCTATTGTGTTTAGGTAAACTAATTATTTTGTTACAATTTGTAAACTGTTGAAATAATAGTGGTGGTCGGGAGCCTGTAAATCCTGGTCAGAAATGTCGAGTGCTGGACAGGCCCCTCCACCGCTGACCAGCGTGGTGACACCCCTGAAAAGACATTCAAGATTAGAAAGGTCAATTTGACCAACATCGTTGGAAAAAATTGACAATATGCTCATATCCAAAAAAAAAAATAAGCAACGCTTCCAGCCTCTATACCAAAATAAGTAAGTACACTTGATGTGATCGGGAGTCTCCCCTTCCTCTCGCTGTTGACGACAGGAACTTGTTTGTACTGCTGTATTATATCATTTTTTAATTAATTAGCCTAGGATAGGGCCTAGTCTATTTTTTATTTACAATTATTTTACCGCTTTTAACTGTCAAAAATGATGTTCTCAATGACAATACACACGTGTGAAAAGATTGTTGATCAAATAATATTTTGTAGTCTTGATTTAGTATGATAAATATTAATAAAGAAGAGTTATCGTCTGTTGATCGTAAAATTACTGAATGTTACATGGAACCCAAACGAAAATAAAACATTGTCAACCCCAAAAATCGTGCAGCGGGCACGCCAATCAGAACACAGTCTGTCTCTTATACACATCTAGATGTGTATAAGAGACAGGCTATTCTTCGTAAGCACCAGTAGTGAATGTGTATCTAGACAATATCATTACATATTATATTCATAATATTTCATGGTGATCAATATCGCATTACTGATCAGTTACTGAATCGAACAATCATATAGGTATCGTATATAGGCTTATACACATAATAGGTCTATACATATAACATTAATCCAATATACATTTAATACGCATTAACATATTTCATTAAATGAATAATGTTGTGCAATACAATACGTGGTTATGATGCATTACTCCAGATATGTAACAAAACAAGTTAGTGTCCTTGGTTCACACTTCACTCCGGCTAGTGTGTCAACTACCAATCACTGCTATCCGTTTTGTTTGCGGTTACGTACGTCATTATCGGTCTCAACCGATTCAAATCTAACCAACCCTCCCGCGACAGCGCGGACTATATGCTACTGAACCGATATCGCTACGCAAGGCGGTATCCAACACATCAGTCATTCCTCCGCAGAGAAAGTAGCACGCAATTTGCATAAGAATATACGACCAGTGAACGATAGCGTACCACGAAATTTGCATACGACAATCAAGTGAGCAATAAAGCAAGGCGTAATTAGCATATTAAAGAACAATAGGCTGAAAATGTATTACGGCGATCTTAAACCTGACACCCTGAAAAGACATTCAAGATTAGAAAGGTCAATTTGACCAACATCGTTGGAAAAAATTGACAATATGCTCATATCCAAAAAAAAAAATAAGCAATGCTTCCAGCCTCTATACCAAAATAAGTAAGTACACTTGATGTGATCGGGAGTCTCCCCTTCCTCTCGCTGTCGACGACAGGAACTTGTTTGTACTGCTGTATTATATCATTTTTTAATTAATTAGCCTAGGATAGGGCCTAGTCTATTTTTTATTTACAATTATTTTACCGCTTTTAACTGTCAAAAATGATGTTCTCAATGACAATACACACGTGTGAAAAGATTGTTGATCAAATAATATTTTGTAGTCTTGATTTAGTATGATAAATATTAATAAAGAAGAGTTATCGTCTGTTGATCGTAAAATTACTGAATGTTACATGGAACCCAAACGAAAATAAAACATTGTCAACCCCAAAAATCGTGCAGCGGGCACGCCAATCAGAACACAGTAAAGTGTGTTAAAGGTTAACCTCATGGCAAAATGTTAGAAGAGCTGTGGGCGACAGTGATTAACAAACAAAGGAAATGCGGTCCAGCATGACTAGCTTTAATTTGGCATGGTAGTCATTTCTATAGTTCATTAGTATTGGATAGCTTTGCAAGCTCTGCTTCAAATCGTAATAATTTGTACATGATTTGTCATCATAATTCTTTTAAAGAAAAGCACAAAAATACTCCGAATTGGAAAATTTTCCAGTATAATTACTGTCTGCTCTCTTCCTCTTAGGGGAAAATGTAGGCTGTAAATGACATCGAAATTCGAACATACTGTACTGTTAGGCCAAGCCTATAGGTAGCTAGCTAGGCAAAACACGGTTTCAAAACATGATCGATCTAGGCCTAAGCTAGGAACTAACTTTGTTTATTAGTAAATTGCAACATTTCTCACATGTTGAAAGCTGGTAAACTATATTTCAATTGTTTGCTCATTGTTTGTCAGCCCTATGATCCAATTAGATCCCAACTACAATTGACAAGTGCATTAAACATTGACAAACATTAATAAAGGATGATATTGCATCAACAAACCTACTTAAAAAACTGCAACAATATTAATTTAGGGATAGGCCTAGGCTAACTAGGCCTAATCTGTCGGTGTGTTGACAATTATTTTATTTCTACTAAAATAGAGATAACACTCCACGCATCCGATCATGTCAGCCTCAACAATTTCTCGCGCCTTTCGTCAAAACACAAGGCAAGGAAGGGCCTGCAATACCCACCAAAATGAAGTAGACAGTCTATAGCCTAGCCGTACGTAGCCTACGTCGTAGGCTAGGCCAGAGAGAGAGTGGGTCAGGTAGCTTAGGCCTAGCGAAATGGTGATGATATCAGATTATTAAACAATCAATAGCAATTACCAGCAAGCGATGCATTCCTTTTTTTGTTTTCTTCCATCGAATGTTCATTCACTTGACTTTCTATCATCTTGTACTACAGCTTAGCAAAGAATTTACACAAATTTACAGATAGTCCTATCCTGAAATGGATTGTTACTGATCTCTTTACAACAGAGACTTGTTCTTGGCGCGCGTATACACAATTGCCCAATCAATTTAAACAGCTTCCCTATTGGTCTATGATGAGAAAATGTTCGTTGTTCTACCAATAGGTGAGCTCCTTAAAAGAGGTTTAGTTGGCACTTGTATGACGTTCTTCCCCGGAAGTAAATAAGGATTTTCCGCTGATCCGTCGCGTACAGCTCACAGTCTGTCGAATCCGGAATCGATTGATATTTTCATACTCCGTCTTACTGAAAACAATTGACAGTACAGTATACCTTCTGGGACAGATACTCTTCAAATTTCCGTGTATTTCCTTTCTATACCGTGTATTAAGTGAAAGCAAGCCACCATGTCTTTTTCTGGGTTCAAAAAACAAATAAACAAGGCGAATCAGGTACGGAGGTAATTTTACTGATTTTAGGCTAGGCTAGGTACGTCATTCCCTAGTAGGAGTAGGAGGGGCCCTAGCTAGGGCCTAGGCCCAAGGCTAACCAGGCCTAGCTAGGCCTAAGCCTGATACTGAGAGTACTCTGCCTAGGTAACAGTAGGCCTATTGCTAAGAAGCCTAAGTGGCATAGGCTTAGTAAGTACTTGTAGTATCTGGGGTGAGCTAGCTGTACAGTAGGCTTACAGCAGCCTTTTTAGGCCTATTATAGGCCTAGGCCTAGTTTTAATTTTTTATAGGCCTAGCTAGGGTAGGTACGTGACAAAAAATTTCAAATTCAAGCAATTCCTTTGCAGCTGGTATCATTTGAAAGCTTATTATTATAGAATTAAATTGATACCAAGATCATTGTTATCCGTCAAATATCAGCAAAGTTACAGAATTTAAGAGATTATTAATTATGCCTAATTTTGGTCCTTCAAATCCTATTATGTTAATAATAGAGAAGTATGTGACCTTGTTCTTAAAAAAAACGTACAAAAATGCTCTAACTTTTTGTTTTCTATACATTTCTCAATAAAATAAAAAGCATTTGGAAGCACACAAAATGGATAAAGAAGCATTAAAAAATCATTAAAATTTAATCATTTTTTAATTAAATAACAATTAAATTAATTAATTACAAATAATTAATTATAATATGCCATAAATGTCTTCAAACGTTTTTACACATGCCTCAATGAATAAGACATTTGAAGGCACACAAGGAGAACAAAAGCAGTGGCATATGTAGGGGTGTTCTGACCCTCACCCCCACCCCTGACCACAACCGACCCCACCCAATCCCCTTTCCTACCCTCCATTGAAAATAATTTTTTTTTCTCTTTCTTATGGTGGTCCTACTTTATTTCATCAAAATATGATTATACATATATTACATTAAGTATTGATATAATTAAAATTAAATTGGTTTCAGAACAATTTAAACTTGGATAAAACATAACATAAAATCGATCGCGACTATGTGTATATAAACATGTTGTCATGTGTGAACAGGCAAGACCAGACATGCATGACCGCTCACGCTGCACTGCACAAACACATATTGGGAATTTCCATTCACAACACACTTTTTATTTTCGGTCAAAAACTAGGTTTCGGTGTTCAGATTATCTAAATATTACACCCAGTTGTAGATAAATACATAAACTAACACAATAAACTGGTTTCAGAACAAAATAAACTTATCTTCTTTAAAAAAAATTGAATGTGTTTGACAACTCAAATTTTCGGCAATAAATTCACTCACTTCCCGAAGTCGGAAAAAATTGATTTGATGACTAGGTGAAAGAGGAACATGTGAACTACTGTACGTGATCGCTATTTCCGGGTCACAGGGAAAAAATAAATACGACTTCTGCAGCGAAAACAATAGAGGGCTGTTGCAACAGTCGAGTCACTGGCAAAAATGATAGCGGTGCCACGATATCGCGGTCGCAAAGGCCGATAGTCACGTACCTACCTAGGGCCATGTGTATGGGGTACCATACGCAGCAAAAGTCCATGTTAAAATCAAAATGTAATTGCAAAATTCAATGTCTGATTTATCAAAACGTAGGCGTAAATTTCTCAAAATATGGATCTAGTTTTTCCAAATGAAGTTCTAATTTTTGAAAACGTAGTTCAAATTTTCCAAAATGTTGTTCTAATTTCTTTAAAATGTAATTCAAATTCAAAACGTAGGTCTAACTTGACCAAATGCCCTCTCCAAAATCTATTCCAAAACATAAATCAAAAACCAGCCTGGTTTGAAATGCATTTTACAACAACACTAGAACATGGACTTTTGCTGCGTATGGCACTAGACTTGCGAAATGTAAATCAAAACTAATCAGCCAAGCATGACGTGGGCCTGTTCCATTAATGATGGGGGAATAATTTTTCGCTGCAGTCCAATGCTGTGAACAAGGCTTCCCTAGTGCTTCTGCTAATTTAATGGTCAGGGTACTGCGATCACTCTGCTTTGTGATCAATCTGCTTTGCATTGTATATAGGCCCTAGTTTATTAATAACATGTTTAGTTCTCACTAAAATTGGCCTATTCTCTGTATTTATTTACACCTAGAGTACATAGGCCTACTGAAGGCCTATACCAGTCCGAAAGTCATGTACCATTCTATGTTCTCTATCAACGGAGTTAACAGTTAATTTTTCAATCTCCAGCAAATTTAAAAAGCATCCAAAATCCTCCTTTTTGGAATGTAAGGAAATAGATAGTGCTTGAAAGCCATTATTTACCCGACAGTCGGCTGCTTTAGTTCTGCTGTTGTGTGTGCACTTGGGGCACGCTAACAGCTAGCCGACCGTCGTGAACATAGAAATTACAGTACAGACAGGAATTACAGTACTGCTTCGTATCTGCGCGTAACCTCTTGTAATCTGCTCGTAGGTTATGTTTTGAATGTAGCTACGAACCACTACGAAGGTCATTGTTATTTTAATTAGCTTTGCAAACTTCGTAGGCTGGATTCGGGCTGATTATTATTAGATCGATCATGTTTTAAAACTGTGTTTAGTTCGATAGCTAGGTAACCTAGTGGGCTGTCAGTATGTTCGAATTTCAATGTCATTTAGGCCTACGGCCTACATTTTCCAATAGAGGAGGACAGCAGACAGTAATTTATACTGGCTAACTTTCCAATTCAGAGAATTTTGATCTGATATTGTTCTGGTATTAGGAAATTCTTCTTTTAAATAATAATACTGATGACAAATCATGTACAAATTATTACGATTTCTAATTAAAGATCACGTTGTTTATTGTTTACCGTAATTTGAAGCAGAACCTGCTAAGCGATCCAATACTGTACATTGGGTTTTACATGTGACATTCGGTAATTTTACAATTAACGGACATTAACTCTCTCTATATTTATTATTTATCGTACTAAATCATGGCTACAAAGTATTATTTGATGAACAATCTTTTCACATGTGTGTATTGTCATTGAGGGCATCTTTTTCAAAAGTTAAAGAGGTAAAATAATTGTAAATAAAAAAATAGGCTAGCCTAGGCCAGGCTAATTAATTAAAAAAAATAATACAGCAGTACAAACAAGTTCCTGTCGACTCGTGGACAGCGAGACGAAGGGGAGACTCCTTTGAAGTCAATTGTACGTTTTTCTTATTGAAAAACAACTCCATACTTTAAATTAACGGTCTAAACTTGTGCTTGTCATTAACAAATTATCAAGCAATACATTGTTTATTCCAGAAAGCTACAGCAGTCTGTCTGCACATACAAATAAACAACATGCTTTTGCTTCGTAGGTTCACTTCGCGTAGCCGGCCTTGCTTAGATTGTTTATATCAGGCTACGATGTATCTACGAAGCCTGCGCGCAGGTAAAAATGCAGTATTCGGTACTGTAGTCGTTACCATCCAGCCACTGATTGTTAGGCTGCCCACTTTAAAATAATATAATAATTTGCGATGCACACAGTGACGTTTGTAGTCACACTAATAGAACAACACACATAAACGTTGCATGGCACTGGCAATGGAGTAGGCCTAGCGTAAAATGGAGATCTTGGCATTGATCGTGCCGACGGAAAAATATTTCCATGGAGAGGTCGGACGAAAGAAACAATGTATTTCAGCAAGTATTTAAAAAAAACCATTTTTATTATTTTTAAGCTTTCGCCAAAATGGCTAAAGTAGTTGTTTTTTGTTTCACCAATACAAAATTGTTTTTGCCCATGGCGACTTGGCGATCGGTTAGCGTGAACCCAGCATCTTTATGATTATTCTCATATTCAACAAACTTCCAACAATCATCAATGTCAAAAATGTCATGCAGTCATTAAAATGTTAAATCAAAGTTAATTTTAAATTAATTCAACTTTTGTTATGAAAATGCATGTGCATACTCTAATTATTATAAACTGTGGGAAAATGTTGGCATGGCCTAAATTTTATTCTTATGCAAAATGATAAAAAAAACACAAAAAAAAATGTTCTAATACACAACAATATTAGGGTACTACACAATACTTAATGAAAATAAATAGAAATGTTATGCTACCAAGAACCGTAACATAGAATTGTAAATAAAAGTAGGCGTATTAATCATAGGAGAGAATCACTAAAGGGCAATTTATTGGATAATACTTTTTTATCATCGGCACACATGTGTCGTGTGACCTTAAAACAGCAAGACAATAATTAATTTATATAGAGCAAACAAAAAAAAAAATAAATAAAAACATTACAGTGTAATGAACATACTGTAAATGCATGGTGGGAAACTGAGGAAAAATAATATGGAAATTACCAGAATTATTTCCCAATCAAATTTTCAGACAACGTCTGTTTAGTGGGATTATGTAGTAATGATGACAATATAGATGAATTCAAGTCATATGTTTCTTTATTTGTTAACTGGTTTAGTGAAAAATATCTTGTTCTGAATTTAAGAAAAAGAATTTATAGTTGATTACTGGAAAACCAAAAATGATGTCTGATGATTAATGGTAAAGAAGTGGAAATTATTAAACACAAATAACTTGGCAGCTACATTAATCAGTTTCTGCTGGATGGATCCCCCTCAGTAAATATGGTTCAAATAAATAAATAAAATAAATAATAAATTGATGATAAATTAATCTGGAACATTGATCTGAGCTCAAAATGTAATATTGATTATACTTCCTCCATAGAAATGAAGAAATTTAATGTTAAACCTTATTGTCTATGTTTTATGTATCGGTTGTACAATCAGCTCTAAAAATTTGTAGTATTATTTGGATATTTGGGCTGAACTTACATAATAAGAAGAAACTGAATAAGATTATCGAACAAGCCAGTAAGATTATAGGTACAGGCGTTAAAACAATTATATTTTTTACGTAATGACATGTTATCTAAGGTACTACAATGCATTATGTCTGATATTACCCACCCAGTTCATGATGCTGTTACTCTCTGTAAATCTGGTACATTAATCCACT